TCAGAGCTATTCATCCAGCCTCTCCTCCAACACCGGCAAACCCAAATGCCGTACGCAGGGAGTGACAGAAGGAGGAACTATAAGATGAACAGATGATTCACAGGAGACCAAAGAAAACACGATACTACCTTCCTTTAGAAGCAAAATCCGTTTAAAAAAAGAAACTTGTTGAATTCATAAGGAATTAAACATGAGAATACTAAAGGAATTGAGCTTAAATGAGCAAACGTTGGGCAATTTTGACACTTGTGCTGGAATGGGCCAAATTCACAGAAACGAGTGTATGTGGCTCTGCTGTCCCCTCCTGGCAGGGCTGGGGGGGACACAGTCCCCTCTGCCCAGTGGCGGTCCAGCCTCCCCAGGAGGGATTTCTCTGCACCGTGCCGCGCTCGGGCTGCCCCAAAGAGCTCGTGCCAACCAGCTGCGCCTCGGTGCCAGGGACAGGGACTAAAACACTGTCTGTCCCTGGGGCCAGGCTGACCCACTTCTGGTTTTTACTTCATATTCTTGGTTTGACAGCAGGGTGGGAAAGAAACCACGAGGTCATCTGAATTTCACCCTCCACTCAACGCCACGCGGGCATCGGTGTTTGGTTAAAGCAGATAAACTCACCTTCTGCCAGCCACTGGACGTCTCTGCTGACAGTTGTGACGTTCCAGATGTGTAGAGGTTTGGGATGGGCGGATAACCGTGAATGAAAATGTCATTTAGGGGCTCAAAATATTGGCAGAAAGGTTTCCACTAATTCATCGGTGGTTTTGTGAAGAACTTTTGACCTCTACTGATTCTAAAGAGCTGGTTTTTACAAGGAGGTGTATTTCTAGGAGTTACACACGCATCAGAATCCAGAAGGTAAATAAAGGTCAAGTGCAAACTGGCCTTCGGTGATTTTATGGACTGAAGCCTTCAACTGTTTACAATTGAGTCAATTTTGTTTTCAATAATGTTAAATTAACCTTTAAAAAATTGTGTCAAGGAGACCAAAACCCTGAAACCGTGCTAATTAAGGAGATAAACTAGGTTGGGGAAGAACTCAATATCTGAGCTGTCTGTCATGAAATAAGATCTTTGAGCTTTTTCTCTGCTTTCCTACTTCTGCCTTTTCCAAACTCTTATTTTTACACAAAAGATTGTGTTTTGCCTTTCAAAGGCTCAGCTGTGTCTCACGGGCTTTGGGGCACCCGTTGCTGCTTTCGAGAATCATGATGCTCCACGTGCTCAGGGGATGGTCCATGTGCCCGGGGGATGCTCCGTGTGCCCAGGGGATGCTCCGTGTGCCCAGGCCACTGTCAGTGGCACTCCAGCCCCTGCTGCCCTGCGATGTTTTCAGCACATTCCTTTTGTATCCTGATAGTGTGGACAAGCCACTTCTAAAAATATTTTTTTCAAGCCTCAGGGCTTCTTTTTCACCTTCCAGTATTGTAACGTTAGACCTGATCTTATTAAGGGTGCTTAGGTATTTGTGTAACGTTTCACACCTCCCAGACCTTGAGCAAGCTCCAACTAATTCTCCGGTGGCTGCGGTGGGCTCCCCCGGAGCTGCCGGTGGTGCTCGGGGCTCTAAAGAGCTTAGCAGTGGGGGGCAGGTGGGGGACCGGGACCTGACCAAGGTCGAGCCGCCCGACACACCCGGATCAGCCGAGCATCCCGCGGGTACCGACACAGCACATTCCCTGCGGTTGCATCCGCCGCCGCCGGTGACACACCGCAGGGCAGGGGCGACCGCGGAGAGCTGCGCGTTCCGTGGGCTGCTCTCGCCACCCCCCAGCACGCGGGGTGGGGGGATGCAAGTGGGCACCGCTTGCTCCATGTCGCAGCACATCAGGGCAGGGCACCGGAGCCGGGCACCTCTCCGCCGCCGCAGCGGCCACCCACCCACCGGCACCGCAGCCTTGCGAGGAAAAGGCAGCGGGAAGGTTGTGACTCAGAGCCAAAGCAATCTGTCAATTAACAAAAATTAAAGACGACAGCAGCGCAAACCATACAAGACAGATCAACAAAACGTTTTACATCAGTTCCCCTCCCTGCAGTCATGAGCTCTTGAAACTATTTATTATTCGAGTGATAAAGCAGCTCAGCTGTAATCCATCTTCATCACTAGTTGTACCTAACTTTTAATCCATGAAGTCACGGATGCCATGGTCAAAATTAGCCACCATTCAGCAGGGGGTTTTTAACCACTAAATATGAAGCACGACATAAACATTCGTTAACCAACAAATCGTCGTATGGTCACCAGGTCCTGCCCAGCTGCTCGGTGTCACACTGCACCGACGGCTGGAGCGGGATGTAGCAGCAGGGGCACGGTTGGCACCGAGTTGTGAGTAGCAAAAGCAGCAAAAAATTTCACGTACTTGAAAATTCTGACTCCTCTGACCACACAAACACCGTTCCCAGCATCCTGAGCCCGGCCACAGCGGTCACCTCTCTCCTCTTCCTCTTCCTCGCAGCGTTCCCTGCTTCCACTCTGGAGGAGATGGGTCGCATGGAAGAGGATGACAGCAGCTCCTGGAAGAAACAGACGAGCAATATCCGAAAAACATTCATTTTCATGGAGGCCCTGGGATCGTAAGTACCACTGCTGAGCCACCTCTAGATACTGGTTCCCCAGTTAAAGTTTTTGCTTTATTCCTGCTAAGAACACTGGTCTGCTGCTGCTGCTGCAAGGTCAAGTAAGGTCAAGGGATGGCTCTGGGAGAGGTATTATAATAATAAGCTGTATATTTAGCTCATAAACCCTGACTCAGTGGAGGGATGAAGCAAGAACAAGGATGTTCAAGTTGTACGACACCTCTCTGTGAGGGAACAGCTTCATTTGCCTATTCACACAAATGAGACAAGAAAACATTTCCAAAGTGGTGGAGGAGGAATTGAATTACCTCCACCAGCGAGTTCCGTCACGGCCAATTTTTCTACGACTTTAGAACCCACGACAAAGCTCACAAAAAAACAGCTACTCCAGAGCTCGGCGACATTTTAAATTACCACGTTCCTGATCAGCCTCAGAAATTAGTTAAATCATCCAGCAGCTTTCTCTGAAGGAATGAGGTTAGAAAAAGCTTTGTTCTCTCCTAGCCAACTTGTTGATTCATCATTTTTTAATAAGGGGCATAATTATTATAAACTGTTTGGGACAGATACATAGAACAGATGCCCCAGCATCTGATTTGTAGGTTGTTCATTTCCTACTATCACATTAATAGGAAAATTTAGCATTAGAAATTGGGATTTTTCCCATGTGCACCACTTCAGCTGGCTGAGGAATATAAATGAAGATGTGGGACCTAAAACTACCTGGAAACTTACTGTCACCTTCCCCCACATCCACAACTGATGGATTAGGGACCTTAGTGAGGACATCCCTGCCTATTCCCCGGGAGCTCACAGGAACTTGAAAGGCATTTCCACAAAACAGCCTTCAGAGCTCAAATGGATAAAAGGGAAAAAAGCGTGTGAAACAAAGAAAAGGTCCTGACCCCACCCGCTTTTTGGGCCAGAGGAGAGGAGACCATTATGTATAATTTACTGAGTGAAGCAAAGACTCGAATTCATCCATAGGGATGCCTTCCCAAAAACCCGTGGGTTTTTTCGTTCTGGTTTTTTTTTTTTTTTTTTCTCTCTTGTTGGCTTTTGGCTTTTTTCCTTGCTAAGAGCCAGGCCTGGCACAGCCCGATTCGTCACAGCCCCAGTCGTCTTGCACGTTATTTTGGCAGCACTGGGACCCCTGGAGGAGGAGGGAATGCCTCGCTCTGCCCCCAGCTCCCACCGCCTGCGCACACCCAGTGGAGAGTTCCCTTTAACCGCCATCAATTAATCTGCTGCTCGTTTGATGAGGATTACCGAGGACTGACCTGGCAAGGTTTGCACTGTCACTATCCCGAGACACGTGTTCAGCTGCCTAAGACAAACCTTTAACAGGATTGTGAGCTTTAGGAATGTTATAAATACCTGCCCGTCGCTGCGCCGGGCTGAACCCTGGCGGGAACGTACGGGGCACTCATTGTCACTTTGTCCCTCAGGGCACGCAGGTACGAGCAGTCTCTGCAGGAAGAAAACGCATTAGATGCTGGATGAAAACATTAACTGAGGTTACCCAGTTGTTTGGCACTTTATTTACATGGAATGCTGGCTGGTACACCCAAACCACAGCACCACGGGGATGTGCCTCCTCCGGCACATCCCAAAAACTGTGTGTGCCACCTGCCTCCCTGGATCCGGGTGGGCTCTGAGCCCGGCACGGCTGCGGCTCACCCATCGCCCGGCACGGCTGACCCATCACCTGGCACGGCTGCAGCTCACCCATCGCCTGGCACACGCAGCAGTAAAACACTCGACTGTCTTTACAGTCAGTCCTGAAGAATGTGATTTAATTTCATTGCAGGGATCTTTTTTTGTCCGCTACCTCAACACAGCTTCATGATGAACTATGCAAAACCAACCTTTTCTCTACAGACAGAGAGAATTGTGGCTTTTTTTCTACGTATAATCCTGCATTGAATATCCTAAGTTTGGGGTTGCTGAAGATGTAGTTCGAGCTTTACAATAGGCATCCACTTAGAGCTAAGGCACTACCATATCACTTTTTCTTGCTTTTTCCTCTCTCTCTAAGTATCCTTCCAGTTCACAGCAGCAGCATCTACTGAAATACAACTTCTTCTCCTCTCTGCAGAGGTGCCTTTTCAGAAGTTTTCCTAGTGAAGCAAAGGAGCACTGGCAAGCTCTTTGCTCTGAAATGCATCAAGAAGTCTCCTCTCACCAGGGATAGCAGCTTGGAGAACGAAATAGCAGTGTTGAAAAAGTGAGTATATCTACGTTGTAAAGTAATGTGGAACAAATGTCCTTCCTTAAGACATGTGGCTTTACAGTAATAATAATAATACAAAGAAGTATTTCTTTTAAAAGAATATATAAATATGACTATGAATTACTAGATTAGTAAGGTTCCTGCTCTCATTCCTCTGCTGGACTTGTAACCCCCACAGCTGTACTGCCCCAGACCTGCAGAAGGAGATAGATGAAGCCAAGCAGTGCTCGGGAGAGGAGAACCAGAGCCGATGCTTTTGCAATCCCAGTAACACACCTGACACCGAGCAGGCAGCTGCTTAAAAACCGAAGGCTCTGGTCCTCCGCTGTGGGTGCCCGGTGCTCCCGAGGGAGTTTGCAGCAGCATCAGCGATCCTCTGCCACGTGGGCGAGGGAGATCGGCCACAAAACAGCCCAGTGAACTTTCACTGGCGATTAAAGCAGGAGACTGTTGGGTTTGGCCAAACTTTGGCCTCGCCAGGTTTGTTTCTGACCCACGTTTGTATTTGCAGAATAAAGCACGAAAACATCGTGACTTTAGAAGACATTTACGAGAGCGCGACCCACTTCTACCTGGTCATGCAGCTGTAAGTACCCACAGAGCCACTTCTTTTTGGGCCACAGAGGATGAAGAGTGGCAGGACCAGGGCAATGCACCGTGTTTCAGCTCCTACACGCTGGAGCCCCTCGCACGTAAAAGTTGGATGCACTGGAGCTGTTCAAACACCCCTCGCTAACGAAGCGAGAGCCACGTGGTTTGAACTAACCTGGATGCTTCTCATACAGTCTTGGCCCGTGCTCGTTTTAGCAGCAAGTTTTCAAACCAAGATTAGGACCTATTTATGCAAATTAATTCATCACAGTTTAGCAGGGCAGAGACAGAAGTATTTCTAATTAAAGCTGAGCCACACAGGGTTTCTAGAAGTGAAAACGGGCAACATGTCAGCTGCAGAGAAAGCAGCTCGCTGCAGGCACCACCTCCGAGCACCCGGCTGCTACCACTAACTTGCAAATTTGGCTAAAGGAAGCAATCACAGAAAAACATATATCTGCTCATATTGCAGAGCCTGGAGGCAATCCTGCCTGCGGTGCTGGATGCCTGCAGCTCACACCTGCCAGGAATCGCCTCGTAACCTTACCCAAATTCCCCAGGTTTACCAGTAACACATACTGGTATGCTGAAATTGCACTCAAAAGTGTCCATCAGCCTCAGCCTCGCAGGCACCGCTGCCAAGGAACGGTTCTGCTATAGGTGGAGCTGTAAAAGAACCAGAAAGTTATCTTGCTGTGTACATAAAAGCATTATTAGTTTTGTTTCATTTTCTTTCCAGCCTTTTTTCTTTCTGAACTACCGTTTCCACAGGGTATCTGGGGGAGAGCTGTTTGACCGAATTTTGGAACGAGGAGTTTACACCGAGAAGGACGCGAGCGTGGTGATCCACCAGGTCCTGACCGCAGTGAAGTACCTCCACGAGAACGGAATAGTCCACCGCGACTTGAAGGTGAGACGTGTCCCCCAGCAGCAGCAGTGCCCCGGGGAGCTGCCCCACGACTTTCTGTTGCTCCTTTCCATTCTCCTACCACAAATTTCAACCTCTGTGTTCACAGCCTGAAAACCTTCTTTACCTTACTCCTGAAGAGAACTCCAAAATCATGATCACGGACTTCGGCTTGTCGAAAATGGAGCAGAACGGCATCATGTCCACTGCCTGTGGGACTCCGGGATACGTTGGTAAGCCAAGGATCAGGAACAGGCTTGTGCTGGTGGACTGTCTGGAATAAAGGTTGTCCACGTAGGTTACGTTGCCCGGCAGAAAGGAAAAAAAATACCTAATTATGTTAACAACATGCTACTCACAGGCGCACTGTGTGGACCACGTAAAGACTGGGCTACAAGTGAGCTTACAGACTGCAAAATCCCAGGATGCTTAAAAGTGCAAAAGAAAAGATAATTTTAAGAGCAATATATTTCAGTGTTAGGTATTTATTGGAAAATTACAAAAATAATTAACACAATGGGATTTTGTTTAGTGTCCACCAGACTGCATTGGCTCGATCCACAGCTTACTGCTCAAAACCTCTGGACACAGGCAGAAATCATCAGTGGTTCTTTCTGTTCAATGGTATAAAACAGACACAAAAAGCAGGGACTGATCCAACTGGTGTATGGGTTGTTACTGGCTGATTCTCTGCACTGGCACCTCAGAGTACAGCAGAAACTACTGCTTTTCCCAGCATGAGATAACGTATTATTGCTTAGATTTTTCAGTTGGTTTTGCTCCCCTGCAGCCCCCGAAGTCCTCGCCCAGAAGCCATACAGCAAAGCCGTAGACTGCTGGTCCATTGGAGTCATCACCTATATCCTGTGAGTAAGAGCAATCAGCCTCCCACTTGTTTTTCCCTGAGTTTCCCAACTCCTCCATCGCTTCATACACCTCTGCAGAGCAGCAGCGCAAGCGGAGGCGATCCGGGACCTCCCATTTTGCTGCGGGAATACCGCAGCGGCATGTTCTTTTGCACGGATTCACTAGACCACAGAAACAAAGGGGACGTGAGGAATCAAGTACTGGAGCGGAGATGAAAAGAATCACATTTCCTCTATTATGTGCCTCATCCTATGCTTTGGGTTTTTTTCAGTTGCCCACAAATACCATTCAATCTTCCTTGGTACTTTTTGTTTCATTTCCTCCCACACCATGCAGCTATGTACCAGCTGTGGCTTTGTCCTTTCGCTGCTGCAGTCAAGTTTTTAACTCTTTTCTGCAGCTTTACTGATACACTTAGAGGTGAGGGACAGACGGATGGGTAGAGTAGCCCCCCTGTTCCTCCCCCCCTCGTGCCCAGCCTGGCCGGGCTGCGGACGGTGCCGCCGTGGATGGCAGCACTGAAGGACCGGGCGCTTTCTGCTCTGTTCCAGGCTGTGCGGGTACCCTCCTTTCTACGAAGAGACCGAATCCAAACTCTTTGAAAAGATTAAGGAAGGCTACTATGAGTTTGAGTCTCCGTTTTGGGATGATATCTCAGAGTCAGGTAAAGCTCCGGCGCTGGGAAGCACCGCGCTCCCTCCCACAACTGCAACCCAGAGCCCTGCGACCCGCGGGCACGATCCTGTGCCAGCCGAGCCCCCGTGCACCCCCCAACACCCTCGGCTTGCCTCGGCAGGGACGGGAAAGGATGAAGTGTGGAACTGAGTCCCTCACACAGCAGCAGACCCCCAGCCGTGGGGACCAGCTGCAGATGCCCCTGGTGCCACGGTAGTGGGGGCGATGATGCCAGAGCTGAGCTGCGTTGGCAGAACGTGGGCTACGTTGCATCCTCAGCCGAAGCCTCTGTTAACATAACCTTGATTTTCACAATTAGTGAGCTCAGAGCGGGCTTAGGTTTCCCTTGGAAGCAGGGGAACTCCAGCTTTTTTTCATCATGGTTTTCTTTTTCTTTGCCCCTTTTCTTTTCTTCCCATCAGGTCACGTTTCCTTACGGCCACGTCAGCCACCACTGCACCCCCCCACCAGCCTAAGCTGCTGCAGAGCTCGCCCGCAGTTCACTGAAGGCAGCAACTTAGCAGCGTGTTTTGAGCATCAGTCTTTTGTACATACAAACAAAACTGGCAGGAGGTTTGTGAGGATTTAATAACAAACACTGCAATCCCCCCTGTGAAAAAAGGAAAAAAAAAACCACAAAAACAGGAGGGATGCGAGTGCTCTTTAGGGTAACTTCTAGATCTGCTCGGTTTGCCATTTCTTATGGTTTTTGGAGTTATTTTTTAGCTGAATAGTTCAACTCAAATCCACACAATCTAAAAGTGAAGCTTGGTAGGTCCCTAGTTAACGTTTCCTCGTCTGCAGCCCTTCGCTACAAACATCTCCCTTTAACGGAGCGGTGCGGACACCTCCTGCCCGGGGCTGGCCTTTGCCATGTTTACCCGTGTCCTAGTAGGATCATACCTTGGAACAAGGAGAAAATGACCTTTTCTCTCTGCTTCTCCTCCCCTCCCAAACAGCCAAGGATTTCATCAGGCATTTGCTGGAGAAAAACCCAAACACGAGGTTTACCTGTGAAGAAGCCCTGCGGCACCCATGGTGAGCAAACCGGGGTCCCAGTTGTAACTGGTGGCCACTGGGACTTACCAGCACCCACATCTCACTCCACGTGCTCAGTGGTAGCTGGGAAGAGGGGTGTCTCCCAGCCCCCGTCACTGACGTCACCATCCGCCTCCGCGTGGCCCTGGGTTTCTTTTTCGTGCACGAAGAAAGAAAACGATGAATAATTAAAGATGCAATTTGTGCGTGTTTGCCTCCATAAACAGAGGCAAAGAAGAAATCCCACCCTGAGCTTTTCCAAGCTCTGAAGCGCGTGTTTGTGTTACATTTTGTTGCTGTTTTTCCTTTGGGTTTAATTATTGCTGATTGAACGTACAAAGCAGTTAGTTGCCTCCAGAATGTGGAATGCCTTACAAATGCCATCTGCCTACGAGCCCATTTTCTTCTCTCCCCATCTGCAGGATTAATGGAAATACAGCCCTTCACCGTGACATATACCCATCTGTCAGCGCTCAGATTCAGAAAAACTTTGCAAAGAGCAAATGGAGGGTAAGTCGTTGGCTGGTGGGAGCCTCGAGCCATTTCGCTAACGAACGCCGGTTGCTGCCATCCAGCAGTAAGCGAGGCCTCAGCTGCGCGGGTACGCGCCCAAAAGCCGAGATGCTCCAAAGGCTGCCTGAAAATTGCGTGCAGTTCCTCTTTACGGGGTGTTTGGACCCATATTCCCTGCCACAACACGTATGGGTAGATGCACCACAAACTGCACTGTGGTGTCATTGCTAAGAAAGTAAAGAGGAGGGGGGAAGGACTCTTGCCTTTAGACCAAGGGAAGGAAATCGATGCTCCATCAGCAGAGCTTAGTCCAGCTCTTCCTCCATCCAGCCTTGAAGGCAAATCAGTGCTTCATTTATAGCAAGAGCTTTTGTGAAAATTTAGGTGGAGAGAGGAATGCTGTAGGAAACCACAGCGTTTTAAATACTTCCATTCAAAATTCAGCTCTAGTCTCCGTTTCACACCGCGGCGTAATTTATGGCTGTTTTCCCCCGATTACACGTGGTTGTAACCTGCAAAAGCATCCGCAGTTTGCACCCAATGGAAACCGCGGTGCTTAAGCCAGGAACGAGCACGTCCCACTTCCCCCATACGTCGCCAAAGGGGGACAGTCCGTTCGTCCCACAGCACCCACCCAGCCTGGCATCACTGGGTGCTCACCGTGGGGGTTTTTGTCTTCTCCCCCAGCAAGCCTTCAACGCCGCGGCCGTCGTGCACCACATGAAGAAGCTCCACATGAACGGTCACGCAGCAGCTGAAAGCACCCTCCCCATTACACAAGTCTCAGAGGCCTCCAGACCCAACACACCCATGGTGGCCACCCGGCCAGCAACGCCGAACGAAGACAAAGACATGTCGCTCCCTCTGGTCCCCACGCGGGGCTGTCCAAACTCCCCCGTTCAGCTGGAGCAGGACACAGGAATGAGAGAGGGAAAGCTGCAAAGCCACTCGGAGAACGGACCGCTGCCTACGGGCAGCAGCCTAGTCCTGCCAGATAACCACAGCCCACCAACAAGAACTTCTTGTGGTTGCAGTCCAGCCTGCGTGGGGCACGAGAAGACGAAGACGTCCTTCTGCTCCGAGACGGTGCTTCTTAAAAAGTCTGCAAAATCTCAGTAGGTATCCAAGTCGTTAGCCATAACTTCCAACAAAATATATGGGAATAACCATCCCTGGAAGGAGTTGCCTGGCATATAAGTTGCTGGCCCCAGGTGGAGGTAGAAAGAAGGGAGGAATAAGGACAGAAGCAAATGTTTTGACTGGCTGGTGCCCAGCCAAGTGTCTTCCCTGCTTGTAGGGGCATCAGGTGAGGCACACTGCCCAGGCTGCGTGGCAAAGCTTGCAGGACGCAGCTGCCACACTCCATTGACTTGAGCACATTTGCTCTCCAGAAACTGGGATTGCCTCTGGTTAGAGCTGCTGAGGCCAATTACTCAGCTGGTGCTGCGTGACCAGACCCTGCCTTTGCTGCAGTGTTGACTCGCACCCAGCTCTGCTCTGCTTCCAGCAGCTGATGTTCTTTGTATCAAAAGCACAATTTCAATTGACCTGCAGAACGATGGTAAATATTGCTGTTTCTCTTTTTCCTTCTTTCTCTTCTGATTCTTCCATTTCCAACCAGTCATTTCAAATCAGAAGTTCTTGTTCCAATGAAAACCAGTAAACACTCTTCTCACTTTGGCACTGGGCAAACCGGAGTTTGTTTGATCATGTGAGGAGGCGGCAGCCACCGGCTCCCCACCCCGCCAGCGGTAAGTGCTCTGCAATCCAATCACCAGCTGCTTTTAATTAATCCCGTTATGGCATGAAAAAGGGAAAGGCACAAACAGCAAAGTGATTGTACATTAAATAAATTGACTCACAGGTTTTTTGCAACAGAAAAAGCCTTAACTAAGCCATCTTTCAAGGAAGAAACCATCTTTCAGCTTCCACTAAGGCCAGTCCAGTGACTCTGAATCCAATTTTTACAATTATAACAGGGTTGCCCAAGGAATGTGTGGAAGGAAACCAAGCACGGACCTGTCATATCAAACTCCACAATTATTCAAAGCTATTCACTGGGAATCACACTGGAACCAAACAGCTTCATCAGCTGGGATTAGGGCTTTCCAGCTGGGTCTCAGCAAAAGGTTGACAACAAGCTGCTGGTCCATGGCTGAGTGTAGGTAGGGTATCTCTGCAGGCTGACAGGTCATTCCTTTTCCCAGATTTGGTCCAGGCAGGTTGGTTTGAGTTGGACTAGAATAGACTATTTCAGTTGGAAGGGACCTACAAGGATCATCTGGTCCAACTCCCTGATCAATTCAGGGCTGCCCAAGTCAAAGCATGTGAAGGCCATTGTCCAAATGCCTCTTAAACACTGACAGGCTTGGAGCACCACTCACCTCTCTAGGAAGCCTGTTTCAGTGTTTGACCACCCTCTCAGTGAAGAAGTGCTTCCTAATGTCCAGTCTAAACCTCCTCTGGCGCAGCTTTGAACCATTCCCACGATGGCTGCTTTGCTACCAGAGCATGGAGATGTTTGTGTTGTAGGTGAGCGAAGTACAATCACGAAAGTTTCATCCTGTTTGACCATAGCTTGCCTTAATTCTGGACTAGCTAAATGCTTATCATTTGCACCACGTTAACATGAGCAGTAAGAAGTATTGCTATTAGATCCTGCCATAAAGGATGTTCCTCAAAGGTGAGCATCTGCTAGCATAGTTCTCCACAAAGCAAGCTACCTCCTATCATCTTCTATGACATTCTCTGCTGATGAGATATGAACAGAACTGTAAAATATCAAGGACTGATAGAAGAGGCAAATGCAAGTAAGATCTACTATAGGCTCCAAGAGATATGAACAGAACTGTAAAATATCAAGGATTGATAGAAGAGGCAAATGCAAGTAAGATCCATTCCAATGATCAGTCATGTAATAAACCTTTATAACTAAGGCACACAAAGGGATCTGAGCTGTTCCTAACCCCGTGCTGCTGCTTATTAACAGAGCACGTTTTGAAGGTAGCAGTCCAGTGAAATGAAGTTCAATCCTCATCTGAAATTCTCTCTTGCAGAAACAGAAGGGCTGTTTTACTCTTTTCTGCACTTCAAAGCCAGACATCAGCAGTGCAAGCCAGAAAGGAGCTGTGTCCCGCCGGGAGCAGGCGGGCAGCAGCGGCTCGGAGAGCAGGGACCAACTGGTGACAGGCATGTCAGTCCCCAGAATCCATCAGCGCAGCGACCTCAGGGTGTTTCTGGATCGTTAAAGCCAGGAGAAGGCGAGGGAAAGCCTGAGGCTACTGCTAGCATATTCAGTGTACATTATCCATACGACCCTCGATGCTGTAAGCTTTTGTTTTCTGTATACTGTTTAGTTGTCCAATGCATAAGAAGTGCACTGCACAACGTAAATCCTACAAACCAAAGCCATGCAGAGTTTTACCCAGTGGCAGCTCAGTTATTTTTACAATCTGCATCCTATCGCATCCTATCCACTCCTTTGGTTAGTCCCAGGCTTCAGCACTCTCAAGTTCAGCATCAACCAGCTGCCCAGTCCTCACTTCAGCTACAAAAGGAGAGACAACCTGCTAGCAACCTCCATATGTCTGATAATAATCACAGCAAGGTCTAAATTCCCTGCTTCCAAGTCTGTAATTGCACAATAAATACTTGCTTAATAAAGCTGAGTTTTGTTTTGTAAAGGGGCTGTTGGTTATTCATAGAAATTTGTTGTGGAAACGGTCTATTAAGTCCCTCCTAAAGCCTTCCCCGTGCATCTGCAGAACTGCTCCCTCTGGTATTTTTCTGGCAAAGTGCTACATGGTAAATAAGCAGATTGCTGCAGAAAGTCAAATAAGACATTTGACTTCACCTTGAGTACGCCATCGCACGTCTCCTGTTTAGATAAATATAGGGATGTTGTATGGATAGGGTAGAGATAAAAGCCTCCATTTCTGTGATCTGGCTCTTTGAAGAAAGATCCAGGAGGGACGTACTGAAGCCACGGCAAGTTTTAAGGATTAACTGCAGCGCAGATAAGTTTTAAAAAGCCCCATGTGAGGGTTTTAATTTGAACAGTGAAATTCAGCTAAAAGACCTTGAATTGGCTCAAACAAGAAAAAAAGAAACAATGTCTTGGTTTATAAACCCCTCCAGAAATAACAGCTTTGAGGGTGTTTTTATTTGCAATGGAGACTGATGTCTCTCCCCCTTTTTCCTCCAACCGCCGGGCAGATTCAGCCAGCTCAGCCAAGGCTGGCCCTCTCCAGGGGGTTGCTCCTTCGGCTCGGTGCAGCTATTTTCCAGAAGTACAGAAACTCAATTTGCTAAAAATAGAGATGTCAGACACATGAGAACTCCAGCCGGAAAAGGGGAATAAATACACAAGTCTGTCTGCAGAGGAGGGAGGCGATGCTGTTGGACCGCGGGCAGCTCTCAAGAGCAGCTCTCGTAGTAGGCGACCTGCTTGTTGATGGCATCCCGGATCCTTCCCACCTGCTCCTCCAGGCCCAACAGCCTGGCCGACTTGGACATCAAAGCCTTGTTGCTTTCCTGAATTTCCATCTCTAAAGCTGAGGAGAGAGGGTGAAAAAGGGTTAATCGATGATCTGACCGGAGGAAGGCTCTGTGGCCATTGCCCTCTCCAGCAGATTGGTCTGAGCCTCCACCTCCCTCATGCATAGCTCTGCTGGAGGGAGAAAAACTAACATCCTACATTCCCTCTTCTGCCCCTCAAAAAAACCCACCAACACGACTGCTCCCAACAAAACCATTAGTTTTGAATGCTTAAAAAGGGAAGTGAGCATGTGGAGGGAAACAGGGGCACATTGGCATTGCAGGCAGGGGGTCCTTTCCACGGCCACCCGTGCACCCTTGCAAGCTCTAAATTTACTGGCACAGCACCAGCAGACACAGCCAAAATCCGCACCACCTCACTGCCAAAAAGCTGTTGTCTTCCTTGTAGCTTCTTCCCCCTCCCCGCCCTGGGAATCCAAAGCCCTTCCCCAGTGCGCAAGATCCTTACGTTGAGTTCACAAAGAGTCTTACTTTCCATCCTGAGCATCATGGCCAAAGTTTCCTCAAACAGAGCCTGTGCCTGCAGGTCTATGCTCTGCACCCTGCTGCCCTGCTCTCCCAGGGCCGGGCTCTGCTCCACCCTCTTCTTCAGGTCAGCGTACATTTGTTTCACTTGTTCGAAAGCCTATGGAAAAGCAAATCAGCAGCGTAGGGAGGATCAAGCAAACAGACTGGGGGAAAGGGGATTTTTCCAACGTTGAATCCATTTTAAATATTAAATGGATACTGCACTGGAGCTCGGCCACGATGCTACTATGCAAACGTGTAACAGGTTGTGATGCAGTCGCAAAGATGCCAGCTGCCAGCTGTAAGGGCTGCTCTGCCTCAGGTGGGAGATACGGTACAGATAAGTTTCCAGCAAAAAGCATTAGGATTGAGAAAGGTCCTGGAAAAACGCAGCAGTGGGGTGCTGCATCACATTAAGAAGTGACATGACAACGCACACGCCATGGCCTGAACAGGAAAACCTCCTCGCCTTATCTAAAAACGTGCCAGGGCACAGCTGGCCTTGCTGTCTAACAACAGCAGGGACGCAGAGCACGGCGGGGACCGCCCTGGCCGGCGACGTGCCGGAGCCTGGTACCTGCTGCGCGCT